CAAATTGTTTTTGCACACAATTCTGTCAAGTTACATAAAATTCACAAATAAAGGTGCTTGTCAATTAATGCTTTAGTTTCTGAAATTATTTTTTTTCCACAAAGCAATAAGATAATTATCTAACATACATCATTTCAAATGAGCAGAGGATGGGATATACCATGTGGGTGGCTCCAAAGCAACCTATATACAGCTTGGTAATCAGGGATAGCAATTAGACACATTTTTAGTGCTCCACTTCATTCTGGCTTCACTACTGACTCTCTACTCATGAATGTGAGCATAAAACATTACTCACAGGACAATCAGTTCATCCCATATTGAGACAGAATATTATTCTATGCACTTTTAATTAATAAACTTAAGTTACAATTATTATGATGCTTACAACAATAAAGATGTAAACAGAGTTTATTGAAGCAAAGTGACAAGATATCAACAGGATTTGGAGATGAAATGATGCATAGCGAAGCCAGGAATACAGGCAGCTAGACTAAATGACATCAGTGATGTATAAAAATGTATGAAGCTGTTTTGAAAACAATGAATTTAGCACTAGTGGACATTACACTACAGGTGTAGGTGGCTCTTCTTTCCTGTTGTTTCCAAGTCAAATTGATATTTGAATTGTTGGTTTCTGTGGTGAGTCAGGAAAAGGATAAGAACCAACAACAACCTCAACCCACATGTGACTCCAGGTCTGGGACTCGAACTGGGCAGGTAAGCGCTCTCATCCCTGCACCATACCTGCTCCCCTTAACATCTGATACATTTATAGAACAGTGCCTAGCTTAAAAGTCATCACCACTATCCAAAAGCTACAATTAAGGCCCTCAGAGGCAGGTCTACTCTTTCTCACCTGTTGGCAAAAGGAATCTAAGCATTGTGAAATGGTTGTGACAAAGTTTTCAAAGAGCTCTGCAACACACTCCCTTCCAAATGCAGAGGCATCAATAAGCTGACAAACTATTTTACAAGAAAACAAATAACAGATGGTAAAAAGCACCATCTGTAATATGTCATAAAATTGCTATCCCACCATGAACTGTATTTACTGCAAAGTGAATCTGTATCTTTAAATAAATTATACACAGTAAGACATACCCAAACTTGACTAAAGTCCAAGTACATTAAAAGCTACTTAGGAAAACTATAACAAAAACATGGTAAAAAATGTTATAATAAAAAACTTAAAGATTTAAATGAGATGAACAAAAGAGCTAAAAGATCAATAGCAAACCAGGCCTAGACTGTCTCAGGTCTACCAGAGAGCAGCAGCAACTTACCTATACACAAACCTATCCCACATGCACCCCGTATTAACAATATGCTCCAAATAACAACTAAAAAATGCAACTTTATATACTGTACATAACTGTACAGTCAAACACTATGTATTCACATCATTCTGTAATCCGTAGACAAACAAATTGTATCTTACCAACTTCAATTGGATAAACAATTTTCCTTGCAGACAATAAAAGCTCTTGGATGTTTCTTTTAATCTCGCATTTTGCATGATGGTGCTTGAGTTCACAAAGGATTTCAAATGTCTGGAAGGGAAGTTACAATTGTTTTAGCAATGTACAAACAAATTGTTAATGCCATGTAAATAATTATGTGACATTATCATGTGCTCAAATGTTTAGAAAACCATAATAAAAGTTGAGATGTGTAGGACTGGATGGGTTGACATGAACGGGTCCAGCAAAAGCACTTGCACCCCCACTTTCATTTTGTGAGAAAGTGAATCCTGAATGCAAATGTAAGGTTACAGTAGAACAGAAATAAGGAATCTGATGTAATTAGTATTTCCTAATGAATTTTGAGTTCTTGTTTGACTCAAAGAAATGAAGTAAATGTTTTTGTTGTAGAATGTTCACATCCTATTTAGGTTCAAACATGATTTAAAAATTTTTGAGACACAGTGGCCTTATAATTATAAAACACACATTGACTGAGTTAAGGTGTGCTGGACAAGAAAATGTATGGTTCTCAGAGATGATGCATGGACCTTGCTGCCCTCAGTCCAAATTTCATGACCACAAGCCAAATATTTTTGGATCCAGGCCTACCACTCAGTGAATAAGTACATTTATTATATGAAACACAAAGGCCCTATACATACTTTTATTGAAAAACTTTGGATGCAAATCATGGTTACCAGTGATTTCATACTCACAGCTTTTTCATACTCACCACATTCTTAACTAATGAGGAATATTCATGCTCAATCAGTTTTGTTGTTTCATACCCTCACTATTAAAGCATATTTTCCATGTTAAGTATGTTTTAAGTATGGTCCAAACTTATGGTACACAAAACAGAACTTTACTTGCATCTTACTTACTTGACTCTTTACTAACTCGTCATACACAACAATTGAAATCAAAGACACCCTGGCCGATTTCAATAATCACTGAATGGTGGGACTAGTAAGAACCCACCAGTGCTTTGGTGCAAAGCAGCACAAATTGGGTATGAATCCTCTGAATTTGGACATGAATCCACTGAGTACAAAATGTCTGTGGGATTGATATGACTGGAAACTAAAATCCACTGTACGTGTATCTAGACCATACATGATGGCAAAGGACAGCTAGAAAAAGAGACAAGGACCCTAAGGTATTGGCTGAGAGAAGAAAGGAAGAAAATAAAGAGCCACATCCACATGATAAACTGCTAATTGATTGAGTTATCTTGGTCAGGATGTATGGATCAAGCACCACAGGGTACATGCACCTTGATCTTTGAGCCAAACATTTTCCTAATCAGACCTCCTCCTGAGTAAAAAATATTTAACCCCACGCCAAGATTTATGTCAAGCAAGAGAGGAATATTTCTAGTCTGATGCAACCTGGCCCATTCAAGAAGCATTTTCCTAGAGGGATTTTTCAAACTGTATTTCAACACAAGCATATGAGGGGGCATACTGATACATGTCACAGAACAACCCTAAATATACGATTAAATTGACCAAATTCTGTAATATTATTAACACTATCAAGAACATATTGGTTTTACCTTTTTGACTTTCTGACAAAGTTTAAGATTTTTCAGGGAGCAAAAATAAATTCTACACCATATACTTGTGAGTGGCTCTAGCAGTTCTTGGTTTTCAGATAAAAGGTGATCTTTCTGAGTTTGTACAATTATCAGCTTTGACACTACATCCAAGGTTGCCAGTTTCTGCTTGAGCGTGGTTTCCCTTAATGAAAAAGAAAGATGATCTTCTCAGAAACAACTTCATAACCCCATTTTATACTAACACAAAACATAACCGCAAAGGTAAATTATAGTATCTAATGTTTTCGCCATCGTTTCTTTTGTACAACAATTGTATCACGTATCCACAGTGAAGTATGGGGTTATGCGGAAATTTTGACATATTCTTTGTTAGGACGTTGAAGAAGTTTTTAATTCTATTTCCAATTAACAATAGAAGGCAGCCAAACAGAGTCCTAATCCCATTTCACACACGACCTTTAGGTGTCAGTTGTCACAAATTTTTAAGGAGAAACCTTCAAATTCCTCTTGGCGAGTCAGTGCAAGGTAATAGGGAAATCTTGAGGTTTTCACGAAATGAAAGAAAAAAATGAACGGGTCACGTTCACTTCAACAGGTGTAGAGTATCGCGTTACATAGAATTGTTACATGTACTGTAAGGACATTTCCTTTTTACCCAATCGTATTGTAAATCTAAGTCCCTAAGTAAAGGTAAAATAACTAGTCATGATTCCTTTATAGTAAATATACTATCTTGATCATTGGGAGTTAAGTTAGAGCAATGAAAGGAGTCACTTGACCAATGAATACTCTACAGGAGGCAAATCACGCCTCGAGCAGCATGCAGGTTCATAAATTCACGAATCACGCACGCTTTTTCTGTAAAATTCACGCGTGACATAATAATTTTTTACTAAAATCATCCTTTGCCGCCCTCACAATAGATATATACTGTATAAGTGGAAATCATGAATGCGTTGTGTGTGATTCACTCACTGGAGATATTCTTCGGTCTTGACACAAATATCTAGCCATGATCTTGGCCAAGATTCTTTGTAAGTACTGATTAGATTCTTGATTTCTTGAACGCAGAAAGTTTCATCCATCAATAAGGTATATCCATTTAGGCAGTTGGCACCCAACTCTTCGTAGTCGTTCTGTGTCGCTGAAGGAGAGAGTAAGCTGCTTCGAGTCGTTCAGTTAGCAATAACGGGACAAAGTTTTTAATCGGCGCGGCTGTGTTAGAGAAAAAAGCAGGGGAGGCTTGGGTCGGGTCCCATACCCGACCCGACCCAAGCCTCCCTTGCATTTTCACTCCGTCTCTAACGTTGGTATCGCGCTACGTTCTATTAAATGAACGTCGGACTCACGTTGCCCGAAAAAATTGCAAGTAATTTTTTATGCAATTTTCAGCAAATACATCTATGAGCGTATGAGCATATTTTTTTATCAAAGAATACTCTACAGGAGGCAAATCACGCCTCGTGCAGCTCTCATAGAAAAACATAATGGCTATCGGCGGCTACAAGGAAGTGGCTACTGTAACTGGCTGGTTAAGGCGATTCCTTCTCCTAAATGTAACCTGGATAAATGTGTGTGTGAAGGTTATCTATCCAGTTGGACTCTAAAAGCGTAAATTAATTAAATGAAAATGTATTGATCGTATAGTAACACGAAATCTTGCTGATTGGCCAAGTACGCTACCCAACTCCATAGGCTGAAAAAAATTGCTTTATCTATCGTCATGCTCAGAGGCCACATTTAATTGATCAAATTGTGAAAACTGTAGGTTTTTGAGAAATCCATTTGAGTACGTGCATTGTAAACAAAGCATTTAGAGATGAAGTATTAGTGGTGAGCGAGCACACGCTCTTATTTCCAAAAATAGAGTATGAACTACAAGTGCCTGTCTTCGTGTTCGTGCATACAACTGAATACTGTACTGCACGATGCCAATCAGCATTTGATGGGCTGCAAAAGCATAAGAGAAATTTTCGATATTCCTATCGGTTGCTGAAAAATCTGTTTTGAACTGGGCGAGGGCATTAATTTCCAATCCATTCACACAAAAAGGCTTGAAACGCGTTGGTAACCCGTTAACAATCTACACACCCTGTTGACTCGTTCGAAGCAAGGGAAATCAAGGTGACAATAAAGCCTGAATTTTCGGCCTCTAAAGTTTTAGAAATTCAGACATCTTATTAGAGCGGTTCTCTACTGCGCTACTTTTGCCGTATGTAGAAGGGTAGAACTTAATGCAATTCAGTTTAAAACTTGACGATAACGTATTGACATACTTAAACACAAAAAGCAATATTTGCGGGGAGTTCAAACTCAGATTCTGGTCTGTTCATACTCTTCATATTCTCTTAACATTAATCAGAAAGAGTGTACTTCATGTATTTTGAACTTTTAACCTTTGATTTACATAACCTCAAATGTGATAAATTTCTCGACAAAAAGGTTTGTTCCCTTTCACTTGACTTTCCTTTGTAGTGTTTTGGCCGAGCACGGCGCAGTTATAGAACAGTAAAACCGAGTCTATAAAAACCGCCATTGTTCCCCCTTTCGTTTTATCAAATAGCCTCAATACAGGCTATAGCTTGTTTTAAGAGGAAATTATTCCTAGTTGATAAAGACACGGGCTTACCAAAACGAAAAGGGGCTCTGCCGTTTAGGTTTACGAGAATATTACGATTACATGGGGAGTCTCCGTCAGTAATAAATGCCACCATTTTTGTTAATATGCATGCGCTATGTTCATAAAATCGAATGATCTTTGGCTTACTTAAACCTCAATATCAAAATCACATTTGGACGTTTCCATGATCGTTTAACATATATTCCACTACCTAAACGTATACATAAAACAACACGTGTATATAATCTATTTCAACATCTAGCATTTTTTTTCTTTTTTAATGTCTGCGTATAACCAATCTAAGCTCGGTAAGTTTCAGAAGTATGGGCTTAAGCAAAGTCAGCATTGGTAAGACAGGGCTGTTTTATTGCCTGTTTGTGAAAAGGAATAAGGATAATTGCTATTCAATTGAGTTATGGGCAAGTCGACAGAGCACTAACGTCGCAGCCCTTGAAGGAGGACAGCTTTTAGTGGATAACATTTCTAAAAAATACTCAAAAGAACAAAGCATTCTTGAAAAAGTCTTCACTGAGAAAGTGATTTTACAAATTTAAGGACACACTCTGTTGTTCGACATATACTACAAGGAATCCCTGAGGCCAGCAATTCGTTGATGACGGCCGATCGGTCAATCCGTCGACCGAGACTTGATTAAAACGTTTTTCCTTGCTTAAAATTATGATGTGGTCATGTTCTGTTTCAGCAAAACGGAAAAATTGTTGATGTCGATGAGAAGGCAGTGGCTAATCCACAGGATGAGCCTAAGTTTCTACCAAGGAAAAACAGAATCAAACTTTGACGATCGCCAAGACTTCAAGGATTCATCGATGATCAACTGAGAAAACGCCGAGCGGTTTATCGTTACTCCAGATAGAAAACAAGAAAAAGAAAACAATGTTCTTCAAAAGAAACGTGGATGATGGTAATAAATTGAGAGGATTGACTGGATATCAAGTGATTAAGGACAAGAAACCTTTCACTGACGTCACGATCTCAATTTTCGTTGATGAAAAACTTGGCTCTACACTCGCACTGCGCTCATTATCATTCCTTTCCCCCAAGGCGACGATGAAGGTGCGCTCATTGGCCAAAAGAAATTTTTGTGATTTTAGGGCCAGGGG